AATTAATAAATAAATTGGATAATAACCAAAATATAGGTATAACAATTTAAATAATTAGTAAAAAATTCAATCTAGCAAATAAAATCATACAACATAAATACTAAACTAAATAGATATATAAACATAATGACCTAAATAACAATTTATTAAACATATCAGACTATTAGGACTAACCAATATGTAGTAGCAGTCACACAATTGTAGATCTTTTAAATGTCTCTCTCTTTTTATTGTAGTAACTTAAAAAAAAATTCGACCGAGTTTAGATCAAGGTGTGGGTTGGCATTGACTGTTGGAACTTCTGTTGACAAAAACGCTGCCAAACCTATACAAGACAATATAAGACAATAAAACGGGTATTTAGATTTTTATAATAATTAAAGTTTACCTTCTTTTTTTACAGTATCAGTTTTTTTACATTGTTGGTGTTCAATAGTGTCCATTTCCAATTTTATATGATTTATAACGTCTTGTGGAAAATCAATAAATCTGTATTTATATCTTGGATCCAACATAGTCATAACGTGCAACCTTAATTTTTGAGAGGAATTGCTATATCGCTTTGTAAGTGGAACCAGAATTTCTTTTTTTATATGAAAACTTATGTGTTCTAATATAATTGATTGCGAATGTAAATTGTTTTGAGTTTCTTCATCGCTATTTTCTGCCAGTCTCTAAAATAGTATTTTGGGTGCTAAAATCAACAGTTGAGATGTCACATCCTATTTCTGTAGAAAAAAGGTCTACACTATATGTATCTTCTTGAGATACTTGACTTAAGCTACAAGTGAATGAAGAAGAATCCGAATGCAGTAAATTATTTTCCAAGCGAGAATATACTGGCCAAAGTCCTGAGGCAGTTACTACTTTTTCAGCTGACATATGTTCATCAAGTTGTTGAAGTGGCTTTAAAATTGTACATTTTAAATTTAAAAGTTGAAGTTCATCATTATTTGGAAGTAGTTGTAGAGTCTTGGAATTTGATTTAATTTCATATAAAACATCACGAAGAGGTATATGATGATCTTTAATAAATTCAAGAGCTGGTAAGTAAAACCACCATCGAGTCTCGCAAGCACCTGGCATAACTTTAATTGGAAGTTGACGATTTACTTGTGCTTGTTTAAGCAACAGGCGCATATTTGAACTGTAATGGAATTTTCCTCGAATTTTTGTCACTTTATTTAATATGTAACGTGACAAAAGTATCCTGTTATTTTTTTCTATTTGTATATATATATATATATTTGTGTTGAGCCGAATGCGGACTGCGACGGCGTTTGTTGGTAAAATTATCATGATAAGGTGTTGTGATTTGTTTATGCGCGTGCGAGATAGTCAGCTGTGTACTACTTCAGACCAGTTAATGGACGGCATTTGTGTGTACATTCACCCCTCTCCTTTCCTATCTTGAACGTCATTTGCACTGCTCACCGCATACATTGTCGCCTTATTTAAATTGTTCTTAGTAATTTCCGGCACTAGGTATTAGGTTTTTTTTTTGACCCCTACTCCAAAGGCTAGCCGTGTTGTCGCCAACGGACCGCCGGGTCAAACGTCGGACGGGTTGTCGGAAATTAGCCATCATCGGAACTGGTCGTCCACAGCAGTTTTTTTGTTGTTGTGTGCGCTGCAACATTTTAATTATATATATATTTTTTGTCGTGAGTGCCCGCTATTGTTTAGACAATGTGATTTTTTTTAATTGGCGTTGGTTGAGCCTGCCTCATTTTCTGTAGCCCTTCGGGGCCGGTAACGTATAAATTTTGTATATAATGTTTTGAGCCAGTTATTTTTTTTAGTGCGCCGTGCCATAAGCACGTGTGGCGAATTTTTTTTATATTTTTTTATATAGTTTTTTTTTGTAGGTGTCCTTATATTTTTTTTATTTAGGTCCCGCAACATGACAGGCGTGTACAAGACCACCTGTCATGTTATATATTTTTTTTGTGACTTTTTATAGGTTTTATATCATATTTTATTGGGTGATGTATATATTATTGGTACAATGTGGTGACGTAGTGCATTTTATTCCGGGGTGTCCCAACGTCTTGCAAGCTAAGCCTAACTGCCAGAAACCAGTCGCTTACTTGGGACGTATACCCGCCGTGCTTAGCGGCAATGCTGCGATTAATAGCCGGCGGGTACCCGAAGACGTTCATCGTATTCTCTAATAATAAAAGTGTAGGTGTAACTATTTTTTTTATTATCTTTTTTTTTTTTTCTCTTTCTTTGTCCCCTTTAATTTGTAGACGAGGTTTTTTGACCATTCGGTTTTTTGCCTCGTAATAACGTAATTTTTTGTTTTTTTTTTACTTAATAAAGTCCCCTTAATTTAACTTAACCATCATCTGTTTCTTCTTTTTTTGCGTGTTCCATCTTCAATGGACTCGTGTATTTTTTTTCTCCTTTCAAAAATCTACTCCCCTAGTTTATAAGGTACGGGCAACGGCCTTGTATAAGGTCATCCCTCATTAATATGGTTATGTGACAACTGTCACGAGGTTTTGGTGTACATCTACTATCAACGACTCAACGGACATCAACTTTAATGTTTATTAATTATATATTTTTTGTCTAATTGTTTTAATATAAAAAAGTTAATTTTTTTTAAAAAAAAAAAATCCTACTGTGGTCCGACAATATACTGTCTCGCCCAGTAGGTTGGCGACCCTANACAATATACTGTCTCGCCCAGTAGGTTGGCGACCCTATACTTATAATTTTGTAAAACGCCATGAAAGTTACAAATTTCTCGTTGCGGCCAATTAATTTGATTTTTATATATTTGTAACCTTTCAAATATATAATTTACTGATTTAAGTTTTAGAGCAGCTGAAACACCATTATTCAAAGTATGCCCAAAGCAGCTAACATGAAATAATTCCAAAAGTTGTACTTCTTTGATCATGTTAGTACCATTATCAGTTGTAATAGCTGAAATTTTTTAAAGTGGAATTTTCCAGTCTTCAAGAACAACGGTTTTTTTAATTAAAAAGTTTTTTAATAAAAGAGGTTCGTTTTTTTGTTATGTGAAAATTAAAAATAGTTTTTTTCTTTCCACTAAATCCTAAGGTACACTATGGTGTACCCATCTGTTGTATTAATATTATGACTTTGTTGTATTTAAAATATGGAACAATCTTTTTGTTCTAACTTATAGTTATAGTAGTTCAATAATAACGCAAAATGTAGTTAATAAAGATATAATAAATCAAAATAAAACATAAAAATTATTGATACACTTAAAACCGGATAAATAAATAATACACCAAAATAAAAACTTAATGTAACAAACGTACCACACGAAAGAGATTACCTTCGGTATTCCCGAGGTCTTCTCTCTCTCCCCTTTTAATTCAATTCGTTTCATCTTATATACTAAAATATTTTGTTTGTCTTTTTATAAAATTCATATAGTAATCATTTTCAAAAATGTTAATAAATATTTACTTCTTGGTCTAGTAACAATAATTTGGGGAATTACAATTAATCTAAACATTACATAAGTGTTCTACTTTTAGGTTTACAAATAATAAACTATATTATATTTTTGTAATAATAGATTAAGAAATTCATAGTTAAACCAAACATTACAAAAATGCTTTGTTTTTAGTTTTATAAAATAATGACCTATATTACACTCCCCTATGTTGAAGTAANGTTTTCAGTTTTATAAAATAATGACCTATATTACACTCCCCTATGTTGAAGTAAAAAATATGCCCTCATATTTTAAATTAGTAAATTTCCATAATAAAGGATAAAAAGGAGGGAAATAGAAAGAAAAATTGAAATTTTTGTGTAGTGAAAGTTAAGTATATCTTTAAGACAGTGAACTACTTTTTTTTTTTATGTGTTTACATTTAATAGAGTATCTTATTTGTCATTCATAAACACGTTCACTTCTTTACATGTTATTTTATTATTAATATTCATGTATATCGATTATTTGTAATCGATTTATTTTTTAACTTCTTCTTTTTTTTTATAGAGGATAGGAAATTATTGGACTGATTTATGAAAATTTACTTTTTGTTTAATTACAATCATTATAATAATTTGAAATTCAAAGTTATTTTATTATTATTGTTATGTATATGCAATTATATATTTTTCTAAATTTATCTGAAAGGGTACAAGATTAAGTCAAAGATACAATAATATTAAAAATATTTAGCAGTTTAATTTTGATAAATGAAGTGTAGAGTTGATTTTATGACATCCATTTTATTATTATTCTTTCCTTGTGTGGTTTCCATTTCCGCTTAGTTGAGTCTCTTTCCAATCGGGGTTTTTTTTTTTTATTTACTGGAAGATAGAATACTCCATTTGGTTTGCCANGGAAGATGGAATACTCCATTTGGTTTGCCATCTTTGGAGCCATCTTCATTAAATGGTTTTTCGCTTTGTGTAGGTTTTTATACTATTAATTTGTGGTTAGTTAATTAGTGTATTAATAGAATTGTAAATATTTAAAAGAGAAAGGAAAAGACAAAAGAGAGGAAAAAAACTAACAATATAACAGTAGTCAGAAATTATGTTTGATATTTAGGAGGTATTGGAGGTGGTAAACCCATGACGTCTACTTTTATAAACATTGGATAAATTTTATAAATTGAGAAAGCCATGACCAAAGTTAATAATGACAGCCAAGAGATATAAATAATATCTCCTAAAAAATTGTCTATATTTAGTTTAAGTTATCACTCTATATACAAACAATTAAAATCATTAATTTGTTATATTCTTAAAGTATTTATTTTCGAATTAGATTTGATATGAGAAAAGTATTCAACTACAATAGTAAATAATTTTACTTTGTAATTTATTAATTTTTTAAATCTATTTGTATGTGCTACTACCAGTCTATAATATTCCAATTTTTTTTGTAACATGTTGCTATATAAATCATAAATTTAAAAAAAAAAATGATTTTTAGTTTCACCTGAATTTAACGATGGATTTTTACAGTTATAACCAAATATTATAATACGCTCAATTGAGTAAATCTTTTTAACAACTTTTTTTTATTGGTTCCTTTAGTTAAAGTAAATCAAAATTAATTAAGTTCTAAATATTTCCATTGTAGAATCTTTTTACACACCAAAAGTTAATTAGAAATGATTATTATGATTTCTATTTAAGTGATCTATTACGATAAAAATGTAAAAAAAATCGAACTTTTCTGATAAATGTACTGTAAATAGTAATTATAAAATTTCCTAATTGCATATTAATCTTAACAATTTCATTTTTTTCTATTTAATAATGTCAATTTCAAACTTGCAAGTTGAGCTAAAAGTTATGGTAATAACTTAATTTTTTTTTTTATTAAAACTTTCACTTTAAAAGAAAAAAAAAAGTAGGTTCAAAATGATTACTTTTAACATATTAAAAATCAAAATCAATAATAATTTTAAAACAATTAATTTTAAAAATTATATAATATATAATTAAAAGAATTACTAATCTGGGTATAATTAAGAAAATAGAAGTTGATGTTGCTTTTGTCCATAAATTTTTTAAACACTATCTATAGATTTGCATCGAAGCGTTTCTTATGATAGTGATTTTATCACTGTCAGAATAAATCTATACTGGACCTAACTATGCAATATCCCTACAATGCCGCGACCCCACTGTGCTGGGTTTTATTTCATATGTATTCAATAAATAATGTGTTATTTTGGGTTTTTGAACTCCAATAAGCAACGGTTTTTTTATAATATGTATTTGAAAAACATTGGTAAATTTATGCATAATATTTGTAATTATTATTATGAATAAAAATATCAATTAAAAAAAAATTTCTTTAGAACCTCTTTAACTAAGTTTTATGATATTAAAGGATGATAATCATTGTTAATTGCATAAGGTTAGTAACTTTTTAAATATATTTTAAAATATCATCAATATAAATAAATTGATGATATTGATGATACAGGCTATTTATTTCAATTGTATATTTTTCTTAAATATCTTACTGACTAATTCTGTTTCCATATAAATACTAATTTCTTATTATGCAATTCAAAATGGCGAGAAATTTGTTTATTTCTTAAATTAATGAACCGTGCATTCTACTTAAAATATAAAATTGAGTAAACCCAATGTAATATAATAAGACATTACATGTAACTGCACGATGTTCCATCACAACAGAATAGTAGTTGAATTATTAAGTAGTGAATTATCTAATGGAAAGATAGAGCTTATGGTACAGTGATATTATCATAATATTCATCTGACTAGTTTCATATACATGCATATTTTTTATGGATTTATCTTAGAAATACGTATTTAAAATTAATAGATGCAATGCGCAACAGAAAAATTAACGCAAAATTAAAGCGCACGTACTATAATTAAAACTATTTATTGAATAATTAGAAAACAAAATTAGAAACAATGTGTACATTATTTAAATATTAATCATCAAAACAAAAATTAATCTGTGAAAAATAAAAGAGTACAAAATGTTGCTTACACAGCAATAAGATTCTATAGGTAAAACTTTTTAGTTTTTAATATTATTGATTTTAATAGATAGAACTTAAAAAAAAAAATTAAATAAATATTGCAAGCTTAGTAACTTTGAAAAAAATAATATCAACATTCTAAGTCAAGTATTAAATTAATTACATAATAAATTATTTATGTAGAAAAGTAGTGGTTAATCTAGTAACATATATACGGTGTAAGGAAGAGTATGTGATATTATTCCTAACACAACCTCATAATGATATGATTGTAAAAAAATATTAAACCACATGAATTAAAAACTCTCCATAAAAAATGTAGCACAACAGTACAATAGTTATTATAAATAATAATTTCTCAAATTGATTAATTTTTACAGAAAATTATAAAGATTAAAAAATTAAAAAGTCAATTTGAAAATATCAATCATAGAACCTTTAAATTTCNCAATTTGAAAATATCAATCATAGAACCTTTAAATTTCCATGCCGCAAAATGATAAAGACGCGTTAAAATCCTTTTGACGAATAACAACGTACAATTGGTTATAATTGACTAAAATATTTTAATTGATAACATATATGTTTTTCAACAACTATCTACTTTTACTTGTAAATGTGAAAAAAATGCAATCGTAAATCATATGATTATTTATATTTAATAATTCTATTGATAATGTACAATATCAATTCAACAATATTTATTGATCATTTCATGCTCAAATACAAAATATGACTTGGTTGTTGGTTCAAAAGAGGAAAATGTTTTAGCGATACAGACGAAGAGAGAATCAAATCAAAAAAGGTCAGATAACAGAAATCAATGAAGGTCATCACAATCACTAACAAGGTACACTAACTTTAGAAATACCTCTCGTGTTCATAATAACAATACTTGTACACGTTGTGTTCTAAAACATAAATACAAATGTTCGGCCATAGGTGTTAAATGCAATACTTGTAATCGTTTTAATCATTTTGCTAAATAATGTAAATCGAAGGCTGTTAGAACTGTCATTGAGTCTCCTACTGATAACCTTTTTATAGATACTATTAGTACTATTGTCAATACTGTTAATAATAATGTTGAAAACAATTTAGTTTGGTTAGTTGATTTGTATATAAATAATCAGATTTTAAAATGTCAAATTGACACCGGT